AAATACGTTTCATTAAATTCTAATTACTTAAAATAAAACAAAATAATTAATAATTATTTTTTAGTTTTTTGTTTTTAATGCACAAACAGTTTTGCTTTTTTTTATATAATAATTACTCTAAACTCACAAAATTTTTGTTTTGTCTTACTATTACATAAAAAGTAACATAAAGTATATTTCTTAAATGTGCTAAAAAATATGTAAATTTACATAAGTATACAAGCCTATGCTAAAAATATTTAATAACTCGAATTCTTTGTACTCACACAGTTGACAATAATCTCAAATCTATTTCAAATCTCTACATGGTAACAAATCACATTACAATCGCATTATGTGATATAAAATTAATTTGACCATTTACCAGCTATTCAACCTCCTACTATTGCCAAAAGATATGTTATTATATTTTTAACACTCTTTTATTCGTGTAGAATTTGTAATATGAATACTTTGCCTTTTACCTTTAATAAATCAATATTTTTTGTTTTTATAGTGTTCGATTTAGTAGAGCTGATTGAAAAATTGGTAAATAATTGATGGTTTTTATAATTTTTTGAATGCTTATTACCATTGCTATTATTAATTTAGTAAAGAAAAAAGTTTTAACCACATGCTTGTGTACGTAAAAACCTTATATACTTAGATTTACAGCTTGTTTTATATTATATATATGTACGGAAAACACGATTTTTTAAAAGAATTCATCAGATATAGGGTACGAGAAATTACTTTTTTCCTAAAAAGAATTACTGTATCAACTACCTGTTTAAAAAATAATCGCATATATAGCTAGTGGTTGTGTCTGATGATATGAATTACTAAAGAGAGCGATCTTTACAAAGAAAATGGTGCTAAAAAAATATTTAAATAACATCGCTCTATATTCATATCTTTTGTCGACCCCAGATTGCTAAATAACCAGATAAAGTGTTCGATTTGTATTTTCATACGTGTGTTTGATAGCATTTCTGTTTAGAGTAAGTTTCCAGGAATGAAAAGATAACTTGACACTACATCTGTGTACATCGAGCCTCATTCTTAATTTTAAATTAGTGTAAGTGTGGAGTGAATATATTTTTTTATATCATATAGGAAATATTCCAATGGAATGTTTCTTTAACATAATTTAATATATCAAAAATTGTATTAATTATAATGAGGAAAGTATAATTTAGTACGACGTATACAAGTTTAATCCCATTGGTTATTTAAACACAAGTAAGATGTATCGATGATATGATCAAAACATTATGAAAACAGCAGAAAAACCGTTTAGAAGAAACCTTTCAAAAAGTATCCTGTAAAATCTGGGTTAGATAATACGGCATTAGAATGAATGACGTACGTATCTTGAAAAAGTGTGCATAGATGCATAGATACGTATGTACCCACAATACATCCAAGGTTTATTTAAGTTCAACCTTCGTCAGTTCTATTAATAGAAAGCTCTTGAAAAATCAATATTAAGTGGAACAAGAATAGTTATGTAAATAAAATGAGATTGTACTCAATTACTCATCCATAAGTCGTATTATTCATATTATATAAATATTTTTACTTTCATGTAACTATTGATTAGAAATAAATTTTTGGCATCACTAGAATAATTACAAGAAATGTATCACGGACACTGTACTATACACAAAAAATTAACTTACCGTTGGATTGTTTGACCTCATATAAGTATTTTTTTTTTTTAATTATTATTATTATTATTCATATTACCATACATATTAAAAATTCTTTTTTTGTACACATATTAACGTTGGGCTACTAAAGATAAAGACTATGTCAAATTAATGTTTCACTTGTATATTTTCAATACTTTTGTTCATAATTTAAAATTAATGTGACTCCAATAATATTTCAGAACCAATAAAGATGGGTACACTCACAGGGCCAGTGTTCATGGCCCAGAGGTCAATGTTAGGTTTCAACAATCAAACTGTGGTCGACAAGGCGCCTCCTGAAATCCACTACATGGTCGATCCATACTGGTATCAATTCCCACCTATGAATCCCCTCTGGTATGGCATCCTTGGTTTCGTTATTTTCTGCCTTGGTGTCGTTTCCATCTCCGGCAACGGCATGGTTGTCTACATCTTCGTCAGTACCAAGAGTCTTCGCACCCCCAGCAATCTCTTTGTCATAAATCTTGCGTTCTCCGACTTTTGCATGATGCTCACCATGTCACCGCCAATGGTAATTTTCATAATATTTATTAACCACTGTTGTTGCTCTAACGTTGTAGTTTTATTGAGAAATTTAATGATCGGATAAAAATATACAGCAGCGAGAAAATAATTTTCTAGGTAATCAACTGTTACTATGAAACGTGGGTGTTCGGTCCACTGATGTGCGAAGTTTATGCCCTGTGCGGCTCCATATTCGGATGCAGTTCGATCTGGTCGATGTGTATGATTGCCTTTGACAGGTACAACGTGATCGTCAAAGGTTTATCGGCCAAGCCTCTGTCCATCACCGGTGCTCTTATTCGTATCGTTGGAATATGGCTGTTCTGCTCAATCTGGACCTTTGCTCCAATGTTCGGTTGGAATCGGTAATAATCGATCACGTTTTTTTAGCTAAAAAGCCGCACCCTCAATTATCACCTTTGTTTGCCTTTAGATACGTACCCGAGGGTAATCTCACGGCATGCGGTACGGATTATTTCACCCAGGACTGGTTATCACGATCATACATCGTAGCCTACAGCTTCTTTGTATACTTTCTGCCACTTTTCATGATCATCTACAGCTACTATTTCATTCTGAAGGCTGTGTCCGCTCACGAGAAAACCATGCGAGAACAGGCCAAGAAAATGAACGTCGCCTCGCTCAGGCAGGGTAATAACGATCAGAGCGCAGAGAATAAGCTCGCCAAGGTTTGTCATTGTTTTTAACTACTAGGCATTGTAAATTAACATTGAATTTGTATACATTTTTTCGTGGTCATTTTTTCCCCCTTAGGTTGCTCTAATGACGATATCTTTGTGGTTCATGGCCTGGACTCCGTATCTTGTCATAAATTACGCTGGTATTTTCCAGCTTGCTAAGTTGACACCTTTATTTACCATTTGGGGCTCAGTGTTTGCCAAAGCAAACGCCGTTTACAATCCGATTGTCTACGGTATTAGGTAAATACCCTTGACAAAAGTTTTTTTTTTTTTTTTTTTTCAAATTCATTTTCTTTGTATTGATGATGTAAAGTGTTCTTTCTTTGCACATAGCCATCCCAAGTACAGAGCAGCTCTATTCCAAAAATTCCCGTCTCTGGCTTGCACCGGCGAACCAGCGCCCGGAGGGGATGCCCAATCGACCACATCTGGTGTTACAACGCTCACCGACAACGACAAAACCAATGCATAAATCGGTTGTTCATCTCTACTTTGCGATTATAGTGCTCATGATTTTTAAAAATTCAAAAACTCGATTAAAAAATGATTCTTTATTCACGGTAAAATTTTTAAATTTTAACTAAAAAATAAATGTTATGAGCTAATTTTGAAACAACGAAATAGCATATTACGACCCAAGGCCGGAAAAGTGAAAAAAGTCTCCGATTGTTTGAGTATTGTTGTCGTAGGCAAAGCCTTGGATGATAATTGGATAAGCCGAGGCTTTTTTACTTTCGGCCGTGGATTGTACGCGATTTTCCGAGCCGTTGGCGTGAAAAAAATTTGGCATTGGAATAAGATTATTCTAATTTTTGGTATATGATATAGTAAAAATAATGGAAAAATTGGGTTCAATACCAGATATGGAGAAAAGTCGGGTCGAATTGACGCATGTTACAAAATGTACCTGCAATTTGGATGTGATTTGTAAATATTTATCGGATGGTTGACGGAGTTGTTTGCAGCGAGAAAATGTCACTTCTGCACTGGAAATCTGTGATCTATTAGCCCACGCGATCGGCCGAGCCACATATCATTATAATATGCGTTAGTTTTGGAACTAATATTATGCAAAAGTTTTACGATACTCAATTAAATTACAATAAAAAAAAACGACGTTGACAGTCCCGATATGCAGACGCAAACTAATGTTATTAATAAAATTATACATTAATTGCTCAGAAGTCTTATCGTTCGAAACGATAATGCAACTTGGGTCTCACCACAACTCAAGTTGTAGTGTCTGTAGCCGTTAATGAAAGTACGTTGGGTGCCTTCGGTTTATCGTGTTGGGCATTTAATTTTTTTACATTTTGCGTAATTTTACACTGTATGACGTATGTCCTAATTCTAAAAAGGTTACACACGAATACAGTCTGCTAATGTTAACGAATCATACCAAATTTTATCTGTAATTCAATTTTGTAAGTTACAATAAATTACGTATGCATTCAAAGTGCTAAAAAACCTATCTCTCTTCGCTTATTTAAATTCTTATTTATTATTTAAAAATAACAGTTGATGAATTATTCGTCATTTTCAAACAGCAAATTCTGATTGTAGGTGTATAAATTTCATTCAAGCAAAAAAAAAACAAGTTTATCTGACTTGATAAATACAATAATACTTATAAATAGACTCCTGGTTGGATACATTTATATCAGGTAAACCTTTTAATGCGTTAAAAATGTTAAGGATAATGTTTTACTTTATCTTTAAATATGTTCTTTGACATTTCAATAGGCTTGCCCAATGATGATTTTTTTCCGTTCAGACATATTTAGATTGAAGGTCTGACGCCGATGATGTTGTACAGGCATCGCGTTTGTAGCTCGAAAAATCACTAGATTTTATAAACGTTTACGGAGTACATTATGACGCTGTTTCCTTGATATTGGTCCAGGGCATCCAATGTGTTTCGTATCACTGCCAACTTGGAAGAAAACTTGAGAGCACGTGGTACAGTAAACTGGTCTTTCTCCACTATGGAAATTTTTGTGTTCCATGAAATCTTTATCCGACATGATGATATTTTTACATCTATCGCAATAGTACAGACATCTGCTACTCATATTGATCGTTTTGTCGCAGACGTTGTTAACCAGTTAGGTTTTAGTGGATTTAGTGATAACTCTGTTGTCCTTGTAACGAGTTCTTTCAAGATGACTGCGTAGTGGTCTTGTAATTCAAGGAGGATGGTAGTTTGTTTTGAAAGCTCTCTTCTGCAAAGAAAAAAATTTTAAAAGTTTTTAAAATTAGCAGACAAACGTGTCGGC